ACACGCGGCGCCATTGACTATATATATACAACGTCCTGTTGTTATATCTGTTGTTATATCATATACAACGTCCTACTATATATATACAACGACCTATGTTGTATATATATAGTCAATGGCGCCGCGTGTGTGCTGTACGCGCGGGCTTGATCTTGCTGCCAGTGTTTTTATTTAGTAGTTAGCGAGTGTCCCGTTGTATTGTATTCGGTCTTTGATTGGTCAAATCCTAAACGCCTCCACCAATTAGCGATTGCATAACACAGGTTGCTCGTTTGTTATGCACGTGTAGTAATGCCGCGCAAGTGTGTTGATGTAGCAAGTAGTTTTTACTGTTAGTTGCTTATAAATAATTATCAACCGCTATGCAAACGCAATTGGTACAAATTTATGCTCGTTTATGATAGTAAGTACAGTACAGCATCTGGTGCATGGAATTAATATTATATAGGTAATTAATCCGTGTTAAAACTTTCCACTACGACTACGAGATCTAACCAGAGCACATAAATCACCATCTAACGCCGCCTTTCCAGCTGAATCGTGCATGCTGTATGCTGAATCGTGCAGCTGAATTCCAGCAGATCGTAGCTTTTCCATTAGAATAACCATTTAATTCTTTTGTTAACAGTAAACAATTAAATCCGTATTCATTCCTTTTATTGAGGTTACTGCACATGTACTCATTTCATCGTATCTTAAGTTATATTCCTCCTTCCTTCCCCCTTTCTATCCTTTGTTTTGATTCTTGACCTGAATCGGCATCCCAATGTCCTTTCTCGTTTCCCCTCCCATTATGTCCGCACATAATGGCTGCTGGTCCCTATAAGGTGCCTGGTTTTATTTTGCATCATTTTGCGTGTGAGCTTGGGCCTTCTCTACACAATTTGTTTTGTCAACAAGAGCCACAATCTTCCATCTCTCTCTCACTCTCTCTCTCTCTCTCTCACTCTCTCTCTCTCTTGTCCCTCTCTCACTTTCTCTCTCTTGTCTCTCTCACTCTCTCTCTCTCTCTCTCTCTCTCTCTCTCTCTC